GTGCACCGTCTGTGTAATGATAAAGGATTGCACATATCCTGGCCTTAAGTCATTATAAAAGCATTTTTTTGAAGGGACATATACGAATCTAAGATTTATCCCAAATAGATGTACTCTGCTGTTTTTTTAAAACTTTTTTACAGTTTTTATCAAAAGTCCATGAGTGTGAGGTAAAGTATTTACATTTTTCTTTATAGTACATGTACAATAAACAGTTATCTCTCACACAGACTCTCTTCCACATGAGCACACACAGAGGTAATCAAGCGTATGTATTCAGGCACATACATGAACAAATATTGATATCTCCAAAGGATGAAAAACATGAAAAGCAGTAATGAAAAATACGCTGATGTTTGAGCGATGTCAACGCAAACAGATTTCTTTTCTTTTTAATTCTTTGTGAAATTTTTGATAAATTCAACTGTATTCTTCAATACAACCCAAACTTGGACTTTCAGAGATCTCTTGGTGGTATTTCCCACAAAAATCCAACACACATACAACAAAGTACTACATGGATCATCAGTACCACTGAAAATGATAGAATTCCAAGTATTTTCAAAAATACATTTTACTTTTGGGCTAAAGGTTAAGATAAAAAGAAAATTGAAAAAAGCTAACTGCATACATGCAAGTCCTTAAAAAACACTTATAGACAAAAAGTATCATACATACTGACTTGTCAACCAAGAGAAGTTTTACTTAGTAAAGTTTTGACTGGGATGTACAGCAAACTAAGAACTATGTCCGCTAAGTTGCTATGTGTTTGAGTATGGGAATTGTGTTTGTGTTAAAAGTTTAAAACGTGAATTTACGTGGAAACGGGAGACTGAAAATGGGAAGTAGTTGTTATATTTGGTATATCATAAAAATGTAATAGTGGAGAGTTGTTAGTTTGATTCAAGTCTGAGTTGATTTCCCTGACCAAGCTGCTTTCTAGAAATTGGCATTATCCTGCATGAGTGCACTTATAATGAATCATATCACATTAATCTGGTCTGAATTGGATTGAATTAGAATTGTGTTGAAGTAGTTGATCTTTAAAGCGGTATGACTCACTTTTGTTATTAATTGGTGTCATATAGATACACTTAATTGAAATTATTTTTTTTTTTAAAGTTTACAGCATGTCAAATTGCTATGCTTATCAAAAGGCTTTTTTTCTTGTTCTATAATTTTCCCCTGAAAATTCTGCAATTGACACAATCCACTTAAGACCGTGGGCTTGAGGGCAAACTCTTTGATTCATTACAATCCCAGCATGGGAAACAAATTATGATGTTGTGGGGGAGAACACAAAGATACTGTAACGCTTTTTTTCCAACTCCGGTTGTTGAGCCTACACAGGAGTAGATATAACCCACTTTGTCCATTTAGATTATTTTTATTAACTGGAATCAATAAATCATCCTAAATTTATGTATATCGACATCCTTTTTGGTGAGAGTTAGCGGAGAAAAATACCCTTGTCTTTCAGATCGTTTGGTGTGAAGCTTGTTAGTTGAGCGTAAGACTGCAAACAGTGGGAACCAGAGAGTCAGGCTATGTTCAATGGCAAACTTGTCCGTAAATAGGAGCATGTTTGCCTCATTCTTATATTTTGTCAGTATCTTGCTATGCTGGAGCCAGTAAAAAATACCGTAACATAATTAAATACTGAAAATTTAACATGGACTCTAATTAGTAATAAAAAGCTTGTGTCAATAACTTGTTGGATTCTTTGACCACTGTAAAATGTGCTTGAAAAGTTATGTTTTTTGCCTGTTTGCGATTGCAAATTAGGTTTTTATTTTTCTTTAAGAGACTTTCTGTGTTTTTTCTTCTTTTTAATACAGCCCCATAGCCAAACTTCACATGCTATTCTTTGGAGCAATTGTAGTTATTTGTTAAACTTCTTGCAAAATAATATCTTCAAACCAACTTTTTTTTAATTAACTAATCATACACTTACATGCACACAAATTCTTGGGAGGCAATGTGGGGTTTAATATCATGACATTTGTTCTGCGGAAACTGGAGATCAAACCACTGACCTTCTTAGCAAAAACTGCCCTTTTCTAATATGTTGAATTGTAGATTTAAATGTGACATGATATGTGAAAATATATTAGGGTTTTATTAGGGTATACAGGGTTTATATTAGGGAGCACAACCTTGGGATCTTTACTTCAAAAGTTCGTCATTTTAAAAAAAACTCTAAATCACGCTAAACCTAAACCCCTGGGCCCTTCCTGCTTTCATCTCCCCTTCAAGACATATCTCACTTTGAAATATTCTGTTGTCAGCTGTACTGATGACCATGCATCTACAGTCTACTACAAGCTTCAGAGGATATCTGAGACCAGTGTTCCAGCTGTATATGCAGTGACTTCTATTGTTGGACTGAGGAAACTGAGTCACATAAAGGGACCAGTTCTAACTCTGCCTGGAGTTCAGATGAGGGTCATTTGAATTTCTGAGATTTCAATGACTGATAATTTGACAAAAAAATGATCGGTCTGGAACTGATGTAAAAACAGCTCAGTTACTAAAGATGGCAAACAGCAACCTTTAAGATATTGCTGTAACTTTCCTTGAGAGCATCGCATTGCAAACTGGATGCTGTCCAGTTTAATGGTTGCTGGTCAGACAACCAGCCAATGCACAGAGAACACTGGTCCTCTCCTCTCTCTATCTGCTACACTGAACACCATCAACTCTTGCTGGGGTGTTAATGTGACATTATTACCACGCTTCTAAAAAAGGTAGGTTTCCGAGAGCAACTTTGAAATGATGTTATTAGAAGTGTCTATGCTGTAAATGATTATACATGCATTACTTTGAATTACATTGTGCACATCTCTGGTTGGGTCTATTACTGGTGATGAAAAAAGCACTGCTGACCAGCCTTTTGGATCAGCAGAGTAAATATCTCCATAGAGAGCCAGTGTTTTTTGGACGACTGGAGGAATAGCTTATCAGTGTGCAGCCAAACACATGGCCCAGACACCATACTTAAAACAATATTTTTCGGTACAGATTTTTCTTAGAAAAAAAGCGTCGATCTAGAGTGCAGAGAAGACTAAATGCGATTCAAATAGTGCCCTTAAGGAATCGTCTTTTTTTTCTAACTGGTCAAAAATAGCACTGAGGTTCTTTGACTTCATTGATATCAGCGCAGCGTATATCTGAGTACAGGAGCAACAGCGAGAAAAATATCTGGTGCAGATTTTGTGGGACATTTGCGCACACCGCCATTCCTGAACATCTGTAGTATATATCAGGATTCCAGCGTATCTGTTGAAACCATTTTACTGAGCTTCAGCGTTGCTGACCGGTGAACTTACTGTTTTTTTAGAAACTGCCAGGTGGGGGCTCCCACAATGTTTCCAGTCATAATGTTCAACTAACCAAAAGAAAAGCCTAACAAGTCGGAGCATTGCCTGTGTTCTCACCAACCTGTCTGCAAGGTTAAAATGCCAAAATACTCTTTTTATTTGCAACAGGAGATGATAGGATGATATTTAGCTTGATCTTCCATTATTATGAGAATTGTTGGGGTCGTGCAGTAGAGTGAAAATAAATGTGAGCGTTCTGTTCATCCAGCAGCTTAATGTGGGAGGTAGTGCTTGTAACCGCACTCGTGAAAGAATTAACATCTTATGCCGGCAGCAGAGGCCACTATCTGACAGTCCATCATGTTCCTGTCCTGACTGGCAAAGAAGTTACAGCCAATCGAGCGAGACTCAGTGAAACACCACAAGATGAGAACATTAAATGCAGTTTATAGTTTCTGGGTCATCTAATTTTAGGAGCTGAGGAGTGATCAAAATGATTGGAATAGGATTTAAAGGAATTGACCTGTGGTTTATCCTCAGGGTGAGTAGTAGTGGAAGAAAACGTCAATGTCTGCTATGGCAGCGATCTGTTTAGATTAGTATGTATCACTGTATCAGATTAACACCTGAAATTTTACCCTCATATCCGAAAAGTTTACTTTTATCTTTAGTTTCAAACAAATTGAGCGATTATTTGGAGATGGAACTGTCTACTAAAAGAAGATAGAAAGAAAAGTAGTATTAGTCCTTTTAAGGCACATCCAGCTCAAAATGTGAGACCCTTTTGGTACCGCCAAGCAGAAAGGAACTAAACCAGCAAATCAGTATGATGATGTTGCTTCTGCAGCTTGAGAAAAGAAACCTTTAGAAATACATTGTTCTCTGCAAGTCATGCCTCTTACATACACTTCACAGCAATCAAGAGTATGAAAAGTTTTTTTTTTTAAAAAGGTAAAACAAACGAAAAAACATGAAGTAATTTATAGCAAAGAAGAATCCAAAACACAGGAACCCCCGCCCCAAAAGAATGTCTCCACTGTATCATTGGTCCACCGGTTTCCTGTAATGTTCGTGAGTTGAGAAATAATTAACATCATACAAATATGCAACATGAACTATTCAAATAAATAAAAGTTAAAAACAATCCAAACTGATCATCATTAAACACTGGAATAATATTCAATAATATTATCAACATTGTCAATACAATTATTGTTAGTTTTACCCTGTTACTTCAGCAGAAGTGTAGATTTCTCATTCATGATTGTATTTCCGTTGCTAGACAAAATGTTTCGTTTTGGTGTTGAGGAACTGCAGGAGGGAGGGTAAAACAACGGGCATGTGATGAGAGAAGAGACTGGAGAATCGATCTCGTTTTCTCCCCACCACCCCCCCCTCCGTCGCTCCCTCCCTTCATATCCCTCTGAGTGTTGGAGCAGCACCAGGATTCTTTCTTGTAATTAAAAGCCCGTCTTCCTCTGAACTTTGATCTTTATGCGGCAGCGGGCACTGTGCTTTGTCCAAATTCTTTCCTTGGACCGAGAGCAACGCGCACTCCTGTGCATCCTCTTTTTCTTCTTTTGGAGAAGTCACCAACCTTTGCCGTTTTTTCTTTTTCCTCTTCCCCACATTATCTTCACCCACTTCATCCCCTCTCGCTTTCCTCCATCATCTTGCCTTTCAGACGTCCGACTCAATGCTGGAGAGCTTTTCGTACACGTGTCCATTGCTGGCACCATTGAAGGGTCTCTGTCCCTGCCCCAAACCTAATGTGTCCCTGCCTCCTGACAGCAGTTTGTTGCCCACGTGGTGGTTCCCCATGGGCCCTCCCACCCCACCCAGGCACAGCTCTTTGGGGTACCTTGTGGCCACATTGGACATCACCCCAGCTGTGGCAGAAGCGGGCAAATATGAAGTCGCTCCCATGGAGCCGCGGAAGTCCCCTCCTCCTCGGTTGTTGTTGAGAAGTTGCTGCTGCTGCTGCGTCTGTGGCTTTTTGATGTAGTACGGTTTGCCACCGTGTAATAGACACTGGTCATCACCGAAGGTTGGGATGAAGGGGTTCTGGTTCACCTTATCTGGGTAGAGAGATTTAGACAAGGAGTAAGTCCCGGCCCCTCTGCTACCACCACCACCACCACAGCCCCCACCTCCCATCACACCTCTATCTCGCTCCCTCTGGTCTCGTTCTCCCACCGAACGGCGATGCAACCCCCCTTCGCCTCCGCGGAACAAACTGAAGGAGGAGCCTCCTTTTGCCCTGTCTATTCCTCCAAACATGGGAGACTCTCTGTCACCTGCATACCTCTCAAACATGTGAGCATAGGGGCTGGGACCATCCATGAAGCGGTCTTTGTCCTTTAAGCTCACACTCCGGGGCTGAGGGAACTGACCACCGGCACCCCCGCCAGCCCCTCCCATGCGGCCTGCTCCCTCTCTCTGCAGATCCACAAATGTGTCATAAGAATGTTGCCTCCGTAAGACCTTCCCACCTGGTCCTAGCTTCCTGCGCTGAGCCTGAGTTTGGGTTTGGCCTGATCCTGCACTGCTCTTCCCTCCTGTGAACATCATGTTATTATCCTCGCTTATGTTATAAAGATTGCCTGGCTGTATCTTACAGGAGTCACAGCGTTTGCATGCAGAACTGGGACGACTGCTGCTTCCCCCAACTCCGCTTGATGGACATGTGCCGGATCCTCCTCCACTGTGATGACACACACTGTGGCAGTTACGACACTCCCAGTCTCCCCCTGCTATTCCCCCACCTCCTATACCTGAAACCCCCTTTTCCCAGCAGGTGTGAGCTTGCTGTCCTGCTGACATTGCACCAATCCCACCTTTGCATTCCGATTTCTTTCCTTTACCCTTGAGGAAGTCTTCCACAGGTACTAAGCTTTTACAGATACCACCACTGCTACCACCACCCATTCCGCTTGCTCCACTTCCACCCTCTTGTTCCCACTTGGCCATGCCCTCCTTGGAGCGGAACTGATCCACATAGAAATCCCTCAGGTTGTCTTTGTCTTTGCGGAATAAGAAAGGTGAAGAATTACCCGCTCCTCCTCCCCTCTTCCGCTCCAGGGGAGGTGAGACCGGACGGTGTGCCAGAGGACCGTGGGGGAAGTGGTGATGGACTGTGTGGTGGTGGGGTCTCCTCCTGAAGGCATTCAGCTCTATCTCATCCTGTTCCCGTCTGCACTTGGCAGAAGCCGGCCTCTTTTTCAGGCTGTCCCTGTACTGCTTACGTCTCTTGGCGTTGCCTTCCAGGTTGCCATAGGTCACAGTATGTGTGGAGATATCCGAGACATCAGAGCGAATGTTCCCATCATCACCCCCTGAGCCTCCCCCTCCCCCACTGCAGTACCTGTCATGCCCACCGATGAAACCCGTGCTTGATGCGCCTCCTTTGAAAGAAAACCTGCCGTACACATTGCTTCCCTTGAACCCGCCCTGATTGGAATCAACAGGGGCGTGGCCAGCAATCAGGTCAAATTTACTTGTATTCCTATGAGTCATGGAGGGGCGGGGTTGCGTGGTGAAGATGGGCGCTACCCCTCCCCCTAAACTGTCGCAATCGAACATGCCCCCTTCCAACGAGCTAGCACTGCCTAAGCTGCGTGGCCTATTGGGTGGGGGGCCGGACATACCCAGAGCTGAGGCCGGGTGGTGGTGTCGGTAAGGGTCCTGGTACAGGTTGCTGTCCTTCAGGGGCAAGTTGCCAAAAGTTCTCTCCACCTCGCTGATGTAGTCACTGAACATGTTGTCCTCTTGCATGTAAGGCGGCGCAGACTTGCAGTCTACAGGGTGACCCACAAGGCTGCGCCGGTGCTCCTGGATATCGTAAATAGCCGACTCACGGCCACTGTGGCTGTATTCAAGCGCTGCATGGGGCGAACCGTTGATGCCTGGTACTGCTGTCATGTCCTTAGCAGTGCGGAGCAACCGTAGGATGTTGGAGTGGGTGTTGTTCATGTTCTTCTTTATTGTGGAAGAAGGCGAGTCTATGGTGGACTTGTTTTCCTCAATCTGTACCCCGTGGATGCAGCTGTAGATACCCTGGAGTGTGAAAATGAAAAGAGAGGGAAGGTAAAGAGAGAGCATGAGGATGCGACAGGCCATAGGAGGAAGAAAGAAGGGTGAGAATGATAAGTTATGGAACACAAAAGTGAAATGTCAAGCACCAGTAAGAATCAGAGGGATTTTAAGATTAGAGAGACAGAGCCAAATATAAGACTTGTAGACAAAGACAGACACAGGGCTGTTAATGCATTACTTTATGACCAGCTTTTTTTTTTTTACACTTTATTAAACTGTGTTAGGGCACTAGTTCATGAATGGGTTCTCTCTGGCCAACAGTGTTGACCCTCAGCATCTACACAGAGTAAGGAAACAAAGTATTGACAGAGTAGAAGAGTGTCTCGATTTATAAGACAAAAAAACGCTGAGCTCATGATTTTGACCACCAATGTGTTTTTCTGGTGCGACTAGCTTTCTGATGTACCTCCATTTTTTAACTAAAACAAGAAAATCAATCGCATTAGATAGACTTGTATGATTTGTTTAAAATCTTAGGAACAGAATAAATTTCGAAACAGGAGTGACTCCGTCCTTTCAAATTTGTGTCTGTTTGGATTGAGAAAAACGGGCGTTGTGTCTCAAGCTTTTGAGAGTGGAGTGAAACAAGCATGTTTAAATAGGAGCTGAGGGAATCTGGTCAAGGCGACAGCCAAATCCGAAAGGTCGAGGACACACCACGCACCAGCCAGCATGCGAGCCAACTTTTCTCAAAGGCGTCAGCTTGTCAGAAACAGTTTCTGTCTGTCTCTTAGTCACTTTCTCAGTTGCCGAGCTCCTTTCATGAATGTGAATCATCACCTCTCTTTTATGTTATGGTGCCATTCTCGCTTTGTGTTTGGTTTATCTCGGTTTCAGGGTGCTTTGGTGAACGACAGCTGCTCCAATGGGCCTTCCTGTCTTTATCTCTCTACATCTATTGCTACTTAAACTGATGTGAAAGGTAATAGAACAGTGGTTACTGAGGTACTTCTCTGCTCTTTTCCTGCCTTCCTGCTACAAATTTCATTCTTTATCTTTTGCAGGCAGGTGTTTTTCTCTCGCCGTCCTTTATTAACCTTTTGCAGGTCTTACACTTGTCTATCATCTCATTTTTTGTCAATTGTATATAAGCTGAAATTCTTTTGATGGCCTTAATTGCTTTGAATATGTTTCTACTCAGACTATAGCTGTAGTCTTTAAAGTAATGCATTTAGTGTAAATGTTAGGTTAATGGAACCACTTTTGAAATTGAAAAAACAATAACAAAATTAGGCGTTTTACAACTTGGGGGGGGGGGGGGGTCGACAGTGGGAGATGGATAGCAATTTAACACAGCAGAAAATAATCATTCCCATGCTCTTTCTCTTGTTTAATGTCCTTCAGGTTATTGTGAGTGGGTCTGAAACAAATGACATTGTAATTACTGTATTCATCCTTAACACATAAACACTGGTGTCCTTTTCCCCACACAATGGCTACCTGTTTCTCGAGAAGGTTAAATTATGCAAAGTAATGGCATCTCAAGTGACTGATTGTGTGGATGCAATTTAGTGAGAAAGAAAAGAGGTTATGGATTCTCTTTAAGTCATTTTTTTTCTTTTCAGCCCTTTTCATTATAAACAAGTGCAACACAATTTCCAATATATAAGACATGCACGTGTGTACAACAAAAGAAGACAGAGAAGTTTTCACATCTACAATTATTTTTTTGGCCTCCAGAATGCTCTCTGATGATAGGCACATCATATATGGTTGTTTCTGTTTAGTTAAAATGTTCTTCGTATCATTGGTTTTTAATAAATAATTTGTTAAGGTGTTGAGTGTCAGTGCAAACTTGTACAAACTATGAACGGAAGATTAATTATGAAGATTAATTAAATCTACTGTAACCCAGCTATATCAAAACACAGTAGCAGTACTGTGTTCCCAGTGGAATATAAACTCCTTTTAAGTGCATTGTTATCTAAGAAAACCACCAATAACTGAAGGTAAAGACATATGCTCTGATTTGGACTTTGTTAAGAAGAATATGAGTCTGAAGTGACAGAATGTCTCTGCTGTTCCACTTCCTTCTCTCTATCATGCCCCTGGCGCTATGACAGTGTGCCAGCCTGCCTGTTACTTCTCGCTTGACTCTAAGGCTTGCATGCAACAGACCACTGAATTCGGCAAAGTTAGAGGCTCCTGTGGCCAATGTTTGCCCTAAAAAGGGACTAGATTTGTTATCATTCTCATGCTTATTTAAAAAAAAAAGGCATCAAGGGAGTCTGGGTGACTGGTGATAATTCCACCATGTTGGGGTCACTGCAACAACAGATTCAAGACAATCCTGTTTTGTGATTAAGTAGGACCCACAGATACGCCTATATTATTTAAGACCTTTATTTGTCACATAACCACATCAGCATTGTCATTATTTCATCTACTCTATTTTGCCCTCTGTTTCTGGACGGAAGCCTCCTGTTCATTGGCTGTGCTTACATTCAACACAGCAATGTATTTGAATAAACTGTTGTGGTGCAGAACAGACGAGTGGAAAAAGAAAAAAGGAAAAAAAAAGGATTAGGAAGCCCAGTGGTGCCATTCTTCTGCTCTACATAAAAAGGACGCCATTGCTTGGAGTGACCTCTTTGAAAGTCATTTCATTACTAACCTTTTCAAGGCTAATCTAAACCTTCCCAAGATAATAAATCAGTTATTTCAAATTAAAATAGTTTTCATCAAATATGTCTTCACATAAGTGAGTTTATTCTAAAAAGAAAATAGGAGATTTTTAATGGTAATATAATTGGACCCATTAGACTTTTTTCTATGTCCAATGTTAGCATTGTGGTTAAAGAATAAAGAGTTGCTCCATGGGATACTCTTCAACATGCATTTTGTGTTACAAAACCCACAGGGAAGCAGGATGAACCACAACAGACCACAATACTTACACTGATACACACTGAAACAAGCCACTTCTGCGATCTTTCTGCTGATAGGACAAAGGTCAGATCCAAAATAAAAACCTAAGGAGACTCACTCTGCTGATGGAGAAGGTGAACCCAGGCTGTCCTGAGCACACGCCCATGAAACAGAAGCGCAGCTGCCAGTAGAACCAATGTTCACAGATGAAGGTGAGTAATGACAGAATCATGGCGGCCCCGAGCATGTAGAAGACCCCCGCCATGTTGTCCACGTCCAGCTGGCTACTCATCACCTCGTTCTTCTCATTGTGACAGATACCCGTCAGCCACAATGCCTCCAACTCCTCCATCTCACCTGGACACACACACACACAAACGGGTTACTGCATCAAAGTAGTGGTCAGATATGACCTGCACACATCACTGAGTTTGTCTGTAGATGTCTAAACATATTAAGTGAGAGAGGGAAAAAAACGGAGGGCATTTCTTTTTCTTCTTTTTTATAAAACTGGTTTGTAAATACCAAAAACAGCCCAGGTCTCGTGCACATGCAACAAATGCCACGATGCATTATTTTGAATGCTACCCTGAGGATCTTCCTCATTAAGGAGTGCTTATGCAGGGCAATCCCCTCTTTGTTTTGGGAAGACACACAGCTGCCTCGTGGGACTTGACAGTCCTCAGAGAGGAAGTGTGTGTGTGGTCATGTAAGCGTTTCCATCCTGAGATACATCCTTCTCCGTTCCGCATCCCAAGGGAAGCTTCTAAAAAGGGAAGGACACGTCCAGACATATTTGTTTGCGCTGCATCAATGGCCTTCTTGTGTATTCTCGTGTTAATACATGTTCCCACCTATTGCAAAACATCATGTTTGTGTCAGACAACTGTTGGCTGGATTTCACTAAAAATATTTGTACCTAAATGGGCCTCTGTAAGAGAAGAAAAGCACACTTACTTCTCTGGTAGCCTTAAGGTGTTGGTCACGCGTTGCTCTCATGCTAATAAGCAACACACAAACAGTCGTTACATCAAGTGTGGTTGATAGACAGTAGTTACTTGTTGTTTGCAGTTAAAAGGAAGCCAGCAGTGTCTCTAGGTCATGTTTGTATGTCTGCTGCACACGATAGGGCTCTGAGCTGCATTTGTGGAAGGCACAGCACATTTTTGGAAGTGTTCCTGAGCCCATTCGAGGATTTCCATCGTAGGAGCTTCACTCAAGGCAACTTAACTAGTTGCTTATGCTCTAAGATTACCATGACCTAGATGACTGAGAATTAATACAATTGTTTCCGTGACTGTTTTTCAATAGAATGTTGCCTGAGGTTCAAAGATCATTTGCATTCGGTGTTGTCACGGTGGTGCCCTGGTTGAGGTTTTTTCGTCTCGTCTTTTTGTCGTCTCGTCATTTCCTGTTTTATTTTGAAGACTAACCCTCATCTCGTTTCAGGTCACTTGCACTTCCTGTTGTGTCACCAGTCCGATCGTCTCCCTGATTACCTATTGTGTTCACCTGGTGCCCCTTCCTTCATGTGTTTAAATAGTCTTCGTCTCCCCTTGTCCTGTGCCAGAGAATTACGTTTGTCTCCTGTGCCCACGTTCCATAGCAATCTCCAGCCATAGTTCCTGAGTCCTAGCTTCCTAGCCCTGTTTTCAGTCCCCGTCCTTGAGCCCCGTTTTTGCCTCGCTTCCGAGTGATTTTGAGTTTGGTTCTCCTAGCCCTGTTCTAGTGAGTATTCTTTTGTTACTTTGTTTTTTCCCACGTCCTCTGCTAGAGTGATTTTTTGTTGTTACTTTTTGCCTCCTTTCGGAGCGCCTGCCGTACCACTCCGTTGGAGTGCGTTTTTTGTGTTTAATAAAACCTTTGGAACCAGCTCTGCATCTGAGTCCTCGCTCAGCCGACCCGGTCGTGACAGGTGTGGATTTTCTGTGCGGGCTGATACTGTTTCTGTACAGGGTTTGCATGTTCTCCCCATGTCTGCCTGGGTTCCCCCCGGGGTACTCTGGCTTTTTCCCGCCGTTCAAAAACATGCACGTTAGGTTAATTGAACACTCTCACTTGACAGTGAATATGAGTGTCTGGTCTTTCCTCGATGTGTGGCCCTGCAATGGAATAGCCAACTGTACAGGGTGTACCCTGCCTTTAACCCACTCACAGCTGGGATAGGCACCGGTCTCCAGGAATAAGAGATATAAACAATGGATGGATGAATGTTCATCCACTTATTTCATTCAAGTACCACTCACTACCTGGCTATTCATTCCCTGTTTATCAACTTTTGGGACGATTTGCTACCATCAAATTCAAGAAATCAAGATTTTCTATCATTGATAGACTAAACACGATACGTAATATTCAAAGTAAACAACCAATTTAAGAATTGAGGGCAATACAAAAGGTGTAGAAGATTTTTTCAAGAAATATTCCATATCAATTTACAATTTTCATTGCTGATCACACAAGTCTTCCTTGAGGAACACTCACTAATATCAAACTTGAAGAGAATTATCTTCATTTTTCATTTGAAACCTTAATAGAAAAACTGATGTGGAAGCCAAACTGGAATCACACCAATTAGCATCAGTAAGATCTGAAAATCACTACTCTCTTTCTACTCCTGCATCATTACTCTCTTTATCTTTATCCCCCTTTGTATGTTTGAACGTGAATCTGTTCCAATGATTCCAGACGTAAAGTGCTATTTTTGCTTTTGTGAAGCAGTTAGAGAAATTCTGCTGTGCGCAGAACGTCATTCTTTTGGCTCAAACAGGACACAACAGTTGCGAGCTAACATCAATCAGCGAAATCTTTCAACTTGGTCTGTTGCATGTGTACTGACAGCCAAGCAATCCTTGGAAAGCAATGAGGTCGTGTGTCACGCGTTGGCCTCACAAACAGTAGAGACAGTGGTAAGACTCAACTGCTGTCTGAGAATATGTGTACACGTGTCCAAACCCTGGAAAGCACACACTCAGGCACGTTCATCATATCTGCCACAAAACATTGTATGTACACACAAGACTGCATATAGAGGTCAGAGTAAATCGGACTCCCGTAGATCTGATCCAAGGTGAATGTTCCATCTGCAGCAACCTGTTTAGCCATCATGAATTCCACAATGGAAAATGATAGCACCTCGAAGGCCACAGTTTGTGTGTATGTGTGTCAGCCGTCTGCGCGATATATGATGTGGCAGGAAGTAAACAGAACAGAGAACATGGACATGCATTGCAGGTGCAGCCTGTGAAGTCAAAAGTTCATCAGAAACCTTTGTTTTTTTTTGTATCCAACTTTCCCAAAGAAACCATAGAGCAGTGACTGTTCTTTAAGTTATTTTAACAACAGGTATGATTTTTTTATTTACTGACATGTAATACTTACACGTTTGGGATCAAATAAAGAGATTTGATCTCAGGCATACACAAAAGGACTTGGAGTAAAAGACAAAAACGATACATAATACACTTCTAATGTACAATACCTTTATCTCAGGTTATCATTCACTTCGAACGACACAGTGAGATCTAAAAACCACCCTTTATGTAAATCACCACAAATAATAATACCACCTATTTAAGCCCCAGAATCAGATCCAGTTGAAATTTGTTTTAAAGAAATGATTAGAAAATTATCAAATCTTTTTTTAAACCGGATTCATCGTGGGACCACTGATTAAAAAGACAGCACTGTTTTTGACAGTTGTGTCCTGTGACTGCTAAAGGTCAGTGGACAGTGCTTTAGCCACTGTTCAGGTCTCTCTCTTTTAAGACACGAAAGAAAGAATACCAAAGAATACTATCAACACTAGTTGTACTATTCACAACAAAACAGGTAGGATGGGTGCTGCGGTCCTTTACTGAGAGGGATTCTCTAAATGAGGACTCTGTTATACTGCTTTCACTATTTCGCATTGAACCAGACAGAGCCGTTGTAGTACTGTCCCAAGGGGGGGACTCAAATAGCACATCGGAATTGTGGACTCAGAGGTGTGATGGAAACACAACAGCGTCAGTTGCCGTGACATGGCATGGCATTGTACGGTTCGATTGAGCTGAACCTGACGCTCCCCAAATGTTCTATATGGTATTTTTGACTAATTTCTCAGTGTGGACAGGATCAGCTGGTTAACACGTCCGCACCATGTAAAATAAACAGGTCACATAACATTTGCGAGACACATAGAACAAGTTCATACTAGAGAGCGCATGACAGATCATTAAAAGAAACAAGGTTTTGTTTTTGTATCCATATACACAGATGTGTCATAATCGTATATTTGTAAAACTTTTCTGGATGATTGTTCTCTGATATGAATCTTGAAACAACTTTAGTTTTTTTTTCAAACTAACTCATTAAAATGATTTTCTACGAAGATGTCACGTGTTCTCTATATGTCTGGATGGATATCTGGGAATCTTATGAAAGCTTCCTCCACAGTCCAAAAGTAAAATACACCAGGTATGGAAAAGGCTGAATACCTGAATGGATAAAAAAGGGAGTTATCCTATCACTGGTGGTCAGCTGTGTGTCTGACAAACATGGGCAAATGGTTTCTACTCATTTGACAGCCCTTTAGAGTCTAATTTCTATAAAACGCTTTCTGCTGTATTTCTAATACATCCACTCATGCATACGTTCATGCACACAGGGCTTTTTCACTCCTTCATGTACGTTCACACTCTGAGGTACAGTGTTTTGCCAACGGTCATTTCAGAGGGGGGCAGCGGTGGTGATCAAACTGACCGTGTTAAGCATTAATGCCTGTTTCGAAGGATAACATTTTTGTGACCAAAAGCATGACAAAAACTCTGAATGTGAATGATGCTACATATTCATGAGCTCAATGATTGAATAAAACATTTATGGGGTTTTTTTATTCATGGAAGAGGCATCTCTGAGGACCCGTGGCAAGAAGGCTCTAAATCAAGCAGCATTGGGATGTATTAGCCACAATCAATGTATTAATTGATTAAATATTTAGACAAATGTTGATAGGTCAAGAAAAAGTCCCGCTTACAATGATATTGTTTCTTTCACGAGGCAAAAATGGATTTACTTTTAACATAAATTAAACATTGCAGTGTGTTTTAACAAACTGATTAGGCTGAATAAAACTACACAGTGATATTAATGATGTCTCCATTACAAAAGCTGTGATCAGTCAAGGACAGACATGTTTTTTTATTATCAATGACTAACTTACTTTATCTGTAAACCCTCAAGAGGCATGACAAAAATTTGCTGAAAATAATTTGAAAATGTTCTCTTCGTAATAATTTTCCATCTTGATGGCCACTGTATAAACACTCAAGTCCTGAAACAACATGTGAACGTCCAACATGATCTACAGCTGTGAGCATGTTGCTCTGTGGTCTCAATTTGCAGAGTGTGTCATCACCATTAGTCATCGTTACTCAGTAGTTATCCACTAATAGGAGACAGATCCAGGCTTCAACCTGCTCCCTGTGTAAACATCCACATGATATGGTTTAGTGTAGCGGTGCCAATATAGCATATGAGATGGTGCTAAAGCAATAATTTATACACAGATAAATGTGCTGTATGGATATGAGCATAAACAGCATCCTACTCCTTCGCTTCTTGCATATCACTCGCTGACCAGTGGAGGTGGTAAAGGCCTGAAAAATGTCCCCATTATTCGAAATGATAGAAGGATCTTTACACTGGTTTTCTGGAGTGAGACACTTTTCTATTGAATGTTTTAATAAAAGAACAAAGAGTAAGTCGAACTGCACAACATTTTTCAGACAGTCTTTGATATTCAGGAATTGTCTGGAAAAGGTTATATTGGTGTAATTGTACAATTAAATTAAAGAAAACATAAATAAAAATAAAAATCGAATAGGACATTCGCGTTTTATCCTTCAAAACTGCCTGAACCCTCTGAGAAAATCTTTCTTTTAATTTTAAACTAAGGAAGGACTCTCTTAATTCTTTAAGATTATATTTTACATTTTCTGCTCTTTGGGAATCTATTTTGGGATTGTTTTTGGTGTTAATATACAATTTTCTGCTTTTAAACAGGATTAGGTCAGTAATATATTTAACTCTGTCTATACATCTGTATATCTATCTATTTCTTGCTTCTGCCTTTCCAAAGAACGTCTGGATTCTCTCAATTAAAAGAGCTGGCCTGTTCCTGAGTCAAAACTCCTTAATACCAACCTAAAAACTCTACCCTTACCAACCATGTGAGACCTTATTTCTTGAACAGTAATTGTATAACTTAAAACCACGGAAAATGTTTTTTTTTATGGCTGTCAAACACATTTCTCCCCGTTTGATATCACTTCTTTCTTGGGCACCTTTTCATTTATTTTATCTCCTCGAATCGGGTGGAAACATCAAAGTCCTTACCATCTCCACAAAGTCCTTACCATCTCCAAACAGCATAAGGATAGCCAGATCCACTGCTCGCTTCCAGCCGGAGTCTTTCTGGATGGCGATGCCGTAGCCTGTGGAGGCGAACACTTTGCCGCTCCCGATGGTAACCAGCTTACAGCCTTCATCTCTGCCAGCCATGTAGTTTAGCACGGCTGCGTCGTAGATAAAGGCATCCAGTTTGCTGTGGAGCATGACACATGGAAAACGTGTAAGGAGAGGGAAGCTACATGTGGCCCAGAAGATCCAGTGTGGGGAAGGAGTTCAGGTTCAGGTCATAGATGCTAATTTCCTATCGTGAATTTTCCCTTTTCACTGCTGTATAGTTTCCTGAAAATTACAGCTATTAGGACTGCTTACTTCTATTCAAGTACTAGTATAAAAGAAAACTATAAATGTTTTTTTAGATGAAAGATGGTCCACACTTATGTAGCTCTATTGACCTAAGGTCTACAATCCCTAAATGATGTGCTTGTCATTTATTTGTTCTCTCCTACAATTATTGCTATTTAAAAAGGTCTGTATAATATGTGTGAATGAAACCATTTTTATGTCTGTGCCTTGAAGATGAGGAAAATTAATGGATGAAACGAATTTTCCATGCTTTCATGTGTTGTCGAGTGGACTAATGCACTCTCTAATGGCCCTCTGAATAAGACCATTAGAGATCATGAACTGGTTAAAAATCATGTTGCCTGAACACAGAAGGAACACATACTTCCATTCATAGAGTGGCTCAATTGTCTATGCCAAAAATGAATGTAAAAAGGTTTGTTTGCTGAATACATATCTGGTAGCTCTGTCTAATCTGCAGGGTCCTTACAGTCAGTGACGTGACTTGAATAAATAAAAGTATATAATTTAGACAATTTAGACACAGTTAAGTTATATTGGCAACTTAAGTTAGATAAGATGTGTTTAAAGTTTTGATTTCCCTATGAGAACCACTCCAGTACAATAAAGAAAGTTCATTTTCAAAAATGATATCCCAAATTATACGCTTCCCCTTTCATCTGTTTCATATGAAAATGACCTGCTGTGCCCTGATGAAACACTCCAGGATGGGGTTGAAGGACCCAGAACTGTAATCATTAGGAAGTGTAAAAATTAAATTATCTCTATTTCAGCACTAATAATCACGAACCAAAAAGCTTTTAAAAAAAGAAAAGATAATGAAGAAATTGTTTGAAAATAAAGAGACTATAATTCAGAAGTAATAACACACCACAGGATTTAAAGGGGAAACATTTTAAGATGTGTATTATTTACTTAATTAATTTTAAGGCATTGATTAACTTCAAATAAACGCAACCCCAGGAAACCAGCTTGAGATTCATGTCTGACGCAATCACTTGATAGTTTCTGTGTCACAAGTTTCGGCTATTGTATTATATGATCATGGGATCAGTCTCATTTAGTTAAAACCTAAACTTTTCCAAGTAAAGCCTACTGTTTCTTCTCTCAGCAATGTCTGGTTTTCCCCTCTAAGTACAGATAGTTGTGTCTCACAATCAACTAACTATGCACAGTGTGTCAGGTCCTTGAGCATCCAGAGTTCCGGCAAAAATTTCCCCAAGTGAAACTCTGCATTCTATTCTATCTATTAACCAAGAGCGAGTTGATAAATTGACATGACAGATTCCAGATTCTCCAGCTACCATCAAAGCTGCCTTAGGGCTTTTACAGGCCTCTGTGGCCATTCAGCATCACTGGAACACACAGCTTTGCATTCTTATTTCCTCAGCAGTGGTTGATAAAAAATGTTTGAAGACAGATAGAGAGAACAAATTAGAATTTAGTTTCTCGAGCAAACACAGGCTACACAGCGATTGTGCGGAAGTCACCCTCTCCCTCTGTCTCCCCCCGCCTGTTATTTCATCATGTTTCATCTGTTTTGCATCAGTACAGGACATCACAGATCTTTAATGGTGTCTCTTTTTTCTGCCGGCACCCTTTCAGCTCTCTCCCTCTCCCCCGTCCTAGTCTAACTCTTCATCTCTGTCTGTCTCCTCCTCACCCAGTTTTCAGACTGTACAAGGCCTCATCTACATTCTTCTGGTGGAAGCTGGTCATGTAGGCGTGCATGTCCCTGTAGTTGTTGCGGATGTTGCGCTCTGTGCTGCCATTGGGCACTGTACCAAACCGGAAAGGCGGTGAGAATTCATTGGGCTTCTGGAACTGTAATGGAAGTGAAAAGTGACAGAGAAGTGAATGAAAAAGGCACCGAGTCGCATCACACAGCTGTTAATGTATTTTGCAAGAAATGGAAGTTAGATAGCTCTAGTTGAATTCACGGATTAGAGTTGGGGTAAATTTAAATGAGAGAATATTGGATATATTTACACAAACGTGCTATACAAGAGACAAAGTTGGAAAGAAGGTTAAATGTGGTAAAACGATTTTAAATGCTGTAGCTTATGTGTGTATGGTTACTACATTAATGATTGTTTTGCTTTTGCCAGGCCTACTTCAACTGTTTTAAAGATCACGTTGAAGATATCTAAACACTGAAATTAACTCAAACAAATACAAATGGCAATTTATCATGATCTCCTTTAATGCTACTGATTTGTTATAAGACTCTCAGTAGTTAATCGAAAAATGCTTTTCAATGGGAGTGCCATATTTCATTACTTAAGAGGGTATGAAAACTAATTAACACATGAGCAGAGAAGTCCAAATATCTTCAAGCTGTTAATCTAATTAGTCCAAATCATCAACTACCATGGTTAGTAGGTACTTAAATGACCGGCATTTCAGAATAATCCAGCATCATTTTATGGATCAAAATCAATATCAAGCAAATCCTCTAACACTCTGGTCTTCCCCAGAGAATGTGTTCAATGAAAAGAAAAAAATACTGCTGCATTATCTATTGGAGAATGCCATTTTAGTGTCATTTTATGATTGTACTATAGCCTCTCCTCTCTGACTGACGCACAATGGACGCCAAAGACCACGCAGTGGAGACAGAAAAGATAAAGGGAAATATCTTTTTTGACAGCTATGCTCATTACTGTAAGTGCAACAAAACTTTGACAAGTAGAAATACATCTTCTGTCTCAGCACCTGTTCAACATGCTTGGATGGGAGGGACGGAAACATTTCCGGCTGCTCTTTTGATGAGCTGAGTGTGGGTGGTAAATATGAAATGCACATCATGGCTTTCTCTGTCACTATCATGAGGGGGGGGGCTATTGATGCAAAAGTGACGTCCGACACAAATTTGCTTTAACCGAAAGACAAAAAGCAGAAACTATATAAAACCATGTCTGAAAAGAGGATGACTTATTCTTGGGCACCTTCACACACCTGCTCCCCCACCCCACAATCCACAACACTGAATTGCATTCGCACCTTTTTGTCTGACAAGCCCGACACCTGGTCGACATACTCCTCCTGGATCATGAACGCAGCCAGGTTGGCAGTGTAGGAGGCCAGGAAGATGACAGCGAAAAAGGCCCACACCGACACCATGATCTTACTGGTGGTCCCTTTGGGATTCTGCACGGGGACGGAGTTGTTGAAAACCAGGCCCCACAGCAGCCAGATGGCTTTCCCGATGGTGAAGGAAGGGCCGCCAGGCTCTGGGGAACGGAAGGACAGGAGGGGAGAGGAGGATGGGATGTGGAAGGGGGGGTTAGTTTCACAGATAACAGGTGCTACTTTACTTCATTTGCATTTACTTGTGACAATCATTATGATAGGAATTTGACAGATGGCAGCAAAAAAAAAAAAAAAGAGAGACGTGCTCCTTTCAGTTAATTTGTCTGTGATTGCTGGATGTGCTGAGCAGAGCGAGTCAGCTCTTTCAGCTGCAGCGGTGACAACCTACTTTTACACACAGCCTCTGTTCCACCTACCTCTGTGTTTGTATGACAAGGTGTCAGGAAGCAAATACTACCTACAGTGGCTCCGCGGTGCCAGGGATGAGGATAAAGGGGGAGGGGGCAGATAGATGCACAGCAGGGTACAATTATGCTACAGCTGGAGCAGCAGTATAGGATTGCCTTCAAAACCCGGCGATTAAACCACACAAACCCGTGTCTACGGCTGTTGAGCAATAAGACAAAAAGAAAACAGATCTGTTGGTAGAATATATCTCCAAAGGGGTTCATCCCCTCTGATCCTTGATAAAACAAAGACTGTGTGTTGAAATGTAACACTTTTCTGAATTTGTCCTGAGTGACTGCTGTTGCAGCAGATTAATGCAATCCTCTGAGCCAAGCGGAGCTGTGTGTGCACAAGCTCGAAAGGAAAAAAATGGATTGAAAGTGAGCCACTGAGTTTGATGGAGAAAAGAAAATTATTTGAATGACCTGCTGGAACTGCATTTGACTCAACACAGTAATTGTTCGCTTCTGTCAAACACAGTTAAACCTGACGTACGTTTTCAGTGTATGGTAATAGTTCTATCAAAGTGTATCTATTCTTTTTATACCCCCCCAGATGTGGTGGTGTAACAATAGGGCATTGTTTGAGAAAAGCAAGGTAGAAAAGTCATTTCACAGCAAGAACAGAGCAGTCTTTGTTCATATAAGGAGGCTAAAGAATGCTTTGGATCACCTATCAGGATCTCGTCAAAGATCTCCTTCATTAGTAGAAGACCTGAAGTGACTGTTGATGTAGATAAGTACTCAAAGACATCAAGTACTAAGTCTAGCACTCCAGATGCACTCATTCAGACAGGATTGTCAAAGTAATTTAGCACCTTTAGGACTCTTACTCAACGGTACACTCAAGGTAACAAAAGCTGTGAATTAGGCAATCATTTATGCTCATTAGATTGCCTGACGACGTATCTCGTTGACACCTTTCAGCTGCAGATTCACAGGGTTCAAGCGCTCCTGTGTCCATTCATGTGTGCTTCTGCATATTGGTGGGCTCTCACCTCGTCCATCTGCCAGGCAGCGATTGTAACCCACTGGGCTGAAGTACTCAAAGACAAACACAGCCACGGCGGACACTATCAGCAGCATCACAAACATCATGACCCAGACGTCCGCACTGAAGGGTTCTGAAATAGATACATGGGGAAGAGAGGGAACATGCAGAAGAAGTTCATTTTTTTTGTGGTAATGTGTAGCTCAACATAATGTTTGCCAAACTAAACTGCTATAAATGGTTTTGTTACGTTAGCTTTTTTTAAAATCTGGCCTTTGTTTACTCAAGATATCTACTGATATCTCATGATATCTACTCTTCTTATGGTGTATTAGTTGACATGGCAGCAGGAGACACATCTCAAAGAAAGAACATAACATTTTGATTTAAGAAAAAAACAGCCAATGTAAAAAAAATATAAAAACAAAATCAGGCTGGATAGTAAAAAAAAGAAGGTTTTACCTAGTACTTCAGACACTTTTATTGTTCATATTTTAAAACTGACTCCATAAATGAGAAGAAAGAAGAAGCTGAGTGCACACTAGGAACATCAACAATTCTTGGAAAAGTAGATCTAGTGTTGTGTTGCTGCATGATTAAAGGCTCAGCAGATGCCAGAGTTTACCTAATAATGCTTTACCCTCTGGTATAGAAATGTATGGATTATTCATCATAATAGGGTAACAAGTGGAGGGCATGAATGCAGAAATTCTTTCTATATTTAGGAATATGATTTAATCAGGGAGTGCAGCTGGGATTGAAAAGCCTCCTGCAAAAGCTCCACAGTTTGATCAAAAGAAGGTTCTGCTGTATATATAACTATGTCATCAGTGTGTAAGAATACCTTACTTAATGATAGATATAGAAAATAAAATATGGGTTAAAACGTAAGCTGGTTTCTCTGAGTGAGGCATAGACAGAAACTCATGTGTGTCCAGTTTTCAGCTATTATATAGCCCAGAAGAACATGAGCATACATGTACATGGATTCTAAAAGTTTAGAAACAGTTTCTCAAAAAAATGGCTTTATGTATGAACACTAATCTGCTGATAAGTAAAAAAAAAAAAAAAACTTGGGACAAATATTGACCCTACATCATTTTAATGCAAAAATTTAAGGTTGTCATTTTTCAGTGGATGTTCACTACTCAGGCATTTCCTTTAGTTCAGTTTTTAGATGCATTTTTGCTAGAGGGGTTGTACTACTTTACATTTCACTTTAAAACATCTAAAAGGTAGATTCAGGTCAGTGGATTCTAGGCCGGTTCTAGTTTTATATAGTTTTTTTTACTTCTCCTTTATAAAGCTCTTGTTTAATTGCATCTGTGTGCTCTGGATGTTTTCAATGCTCTTCATCTGCAAACAGATGAAGCCAGCTTGTTTAACAGATTTATTTTTGTTCATATACACACATATCTTAAATGTCATTCCTCCAAAACGGTTCGTCTCAGTCACACCCCCAAATCATCCCACTGCCACGTCTTTGTTTCTCTGTAAGGATCTGAGCTGCTGCTAAAAGGACTGCTTGCCGCAATCTCATTGCCACTGTTTTATTTTGGTTTTCACACAAAAACATAGGTCAGACTATGTCTTTGCGTCTTCCAGTCAGAACAATGGTTAAGGAGCCTCTCGCTCGATGACAGTTGTGATAACAACGTAAGGAATTTACTTCTTCTGTCCATGTGTGAAAGGGGAACATTTCAAGAGGTTTCAGAAACTTGACAGAATGTGCAAGCAGTGTGGTCAACAAAGGCATCCACGTGTAACATGGAATCAGAAGCCTTGTAGCATGAAGAAAGATTTAAACAAAACTCATATTTTTCATGCCACGTACACCACAGATAAACAGCCTTTCTGTGCTTGTGCAATTATTTTGTGACATGAGCGTATACGGGCATTCGACAGCTCTTTGTACTGTGTTATAAAGTGGCCGAAACACCTGGTGTATTTCCGCTCACCTAGAAAGGCCGATGGGGAGACGGTGCCGTTGCTACGGGAGACCATGACACTGATGCCCGTCTCGATGAACGGCACGGAGAAGTCAATGACCTCGGACCTCTCCTCATTGATGGTGAGTGAACCCACTGCCATGTGGGCATTCTTCAACACCACCTGAGGGTCAAACAGACAGACAAGCACGGACGGGAGGGAAACGCACAAGCTGAGTTCAGAAAACTCACAGATCTGTGGTTAAAAAAAGATTTAACGCTGAGGTTTCATAACCATTTATAGTCCCAGCTCAGATATAAAGAGGAAGCAGGAGGGAAAGAAGATCATTTCTACACTGGGTCCATATTTAACTGCCCACCAAATCATTAGTCGCCCACTTAGAGATACAAAGATGCACTGTACATTCTCAAGTACTGCATTTATACATATTTGTAACTCTGGGGTTTGACACCACAAGCATGTGTTAGTGGACTAAAGATATAGTTAAGATATTCCACAATCAAATAACCTAGACAGAAAAATCTAATTATGAGGACTGAATTGTACTGGATGTCAAAAATGTGATGCGTGAAAGAGAGAAGTGGGTCTTTCCCAGGGGCTGCTTTCCCTCCTGAATCCAATCAATCTTTCTCCTTCCCTCACTGTCTTCAGCACTCTTGCTCCATCTCTGATTAGGAATCTAAGTGAGTCCCTCCTGAGGCTTCCCGGATTTGATCACAGCTTTCCCTCAAGCCAGGTTGTGCGGAAAGAAGTGCTGGATGGCATGACAGAGACAGAATGATCAGCCCTACCAAAAAACGAATAAATAAATTCACATGAGCCCGACAGAATCTGTTGGGTGTGATGTCATCTGCATTGGCTTCCTTATGACAGGTGCTTCACGGCATATCTTGTTTTGAAATAATGAAAGGAGGGTGGTGTGTGAGTAAAATGAGAGCAAAAAAGTAATTGTGGAAAAAATGCAAAGAAAATAAAAATAGGAAAGCCTTCCTATGTCGGAAGTGTTCAATCGTTAACCCGACAATACTCTACCACCTGGACGTTTTCTCGCTGACTTCTGCCTCTGGCTAAATAAAAAGTCTGTATCCGAAAAACCAGCTCATGTCATTCTTTAATTTTTTTATTGATTTGCCAATCGCAAATATACAATTTTATTCACAAAAACAGAAAGATGTAATGTTTTAGGATATGAAGTTTGAATTTTGTTTTCAGTGTTTTCTTGTTTTTTTTACTGTGGTATGTTTAAAAAAGGGTCCTGAATGTGTGTAAAATGTAAAAGTTCACAGACAGTGTCAACTATGATTGACTAATAAAAGACATTAAACAGAAGGAATTCTAAACATAAACATGTCAGAAAAATACTACACTTTCCTTCCGAATATTGTCGTTTTCGTAATGTAGATCTGGACACTGAAATTTGCAATGTCTTGATAGACTGCGTAAAAGAAAGTGTCCTCACCTCTCCCACCATGCCGTTCCATGTTCCATTCACTTTCTTGCCATGTTTGCCGTTGGTGACCAAATAGAGGTCGTATGTGAACTTTACGTTCTTGGCAATCTTCTTCAAGATGTCGATGCAAAAACCTTTGCAGCAGCGCTTGATGTAAATCCCCGAATCCCCTGTTTGATTGCTGGTAGTGGATATAATCAATGAGACGGAGGGGAAGCGGTGATGAGAAAGAAGATGAGAATGTTTTAGTAATTCAAACCCTGTTCATACGGAAGACGCTTTCATTAGTGGGAAAACAGAAATGAATAATTTCATGTTCTGGAGCAAAAAATGATCAACGAGCACCGTTGACAGAGTGTGATGATTCTAGGTGTATATGCACATTTTATATAAAAATAATCAACCAACAAAGATGGTGGGTAGCGGGGCACAAAAATGAAAAGCACTACACCTGGAAAATAGTGACTGTAGCAAAAGAAAAATAAGAAAAAGTCTGGAAACATGAGTCGTGTTTGGGATCAAACTGAAAAACAGGCTGAAGAAAATGGGATTTACATCCACAAAAGCCAAACATAAAGCGTCACTAAGCCCTAAACTGAAGAAAACAAGGTTACAGTGGGGTAAAGAGAAGCAGGCCTTGGCTGTGGATAACCGGATGGAAGAGATTCAGTGATCAATGTCCAATCCGGGATTTTGGTGTAGGCCCAATCAAACATATAGAGATAACTCCCTGAAATAAAAAACACGTTTTTTTTCCCACAATTATGAGAGGACCTGTGGTTAGGTAGTTACTCCCACTACAACAAATTACACAGGGTACATAGACATTTTGGACATTTTGCCCCTAGTAAAAGTTTTTTTTTCCAGGAAAGCAATGCATCTCAATAAAGAGCAAAGAAAGTTAGGACTTTGAAAGGAAATTAATTCATTCAAATGACAATTTCTGACAAAAAAAGTCTGTAATGGAGTTCTATACTGAAAAGCTGAATTGTTAAAGGCTAAACAAGAAAGCTTGAACAGGACTGATGAAGAATGATCATCTCCACCATTAAAGCTGTGATAAAAAAAAAAATAGAAGCTATAATGGTTAATGATTAAAACTATTCCATTCAGTTTTGCAAATCTATGGTTATGCTATTGACAGGAAAATCTGATTAGTGATATGCATTATTTCTTCTAAGCAAAACAACGGAACACACATGTCCAAAAAGCGGTGATGATGTTTAGAAATTGTAATCCAAATCAAACATAAATGAGGGTCAAATAATAACACACAATGAGTCACAAATATTAAACCAAAGTGCGTCATCAGTCAATGGGCTGTTTGGCTCTGAGCAGATACAGGTGCACAGCAGCTGTGGAACACAATGGCGGCTTTGGCGCAGTCAGAATTCTTTTCTTTCACTTCTTTTTTTTTTACCAGGCAAAGGACAAATATGTTTGTGTGTTTTATTGGTTCACAATAGAGTGTCAAACACTGTTTATCCGCAATGTTTGCTTATGAAATCAGGCTAGTGCAAGTGAACAACTTTCCTGACAAAAAAGCGGTATAGCTTCAATAATAAAGCAAAAAACAGCAGTTTAGTTATCTGGCTCTAAAGCTGTGCCCACATGTGTCTGCTACTCTGAGCACAAAGACAACTCCGCACAGCTCTGTGCATCTGGCTCACGGGGTATTTTTGTCTGAAAAGAAATCCTTTCATATTATTTCATGAAATGTTGCTGCCTATCCCCGATAAGCTGTGAGGGGAGAAAGACAGGTAAATGCAAGCTGAAAGATCTGTTTAAAAAAAAAAAAAACACACTGAGCTGGAAGATGGAGAAAGATCTCAGGAGATTTCAGTTAGGTCAGGGATGGAAAAAAAAGAGCTCTTTGAAGAAAATTCATTGGTCCACTCCTGAGAGCTAGATGGCGGGAGGAGGAAAATGGGGACAGAAACTGAGTTAATGATCTAGTTAAGAGAGGTGAAACAATTCAAGGTAATCACAAGACTGAGAGACCCAGAAAGGAATAACATGAGACGTATTCCAATAGTTTGGTAGCTTTGCTTTACTAAAGTTTGTAATAGGGGAGAGAAAGAGAAATCAGATCAATATTTTCTGATTTAACTCATTAATTGAAAACATATCTCTGACCAAAATTCAACATTAAGGATCCACCTGTGACTAAGAGTACCCAGTTTAGGGGTAAGTTGAAGGTGGTGAGGTAAACTGACCATCAAACTTAAACTAAACCAATGCTATTTTCAGAAAATAACCGTATCTTTTTAAGATAGTTTAGCCTAAAATCTTCAGCAAGAAACGCTAAAGAACAAAACTCTATAAATAGTTAACTTCCCAAATCATCATTAGCATGTCAGAGCTTCTGTCAATTGCAAAACCACTAAGTTTTAAACTTCTTGAAATAGCTGAACTTTCAAAACCACTTTATTCAAGATGGCCCTCCCTCCAACCTCAAAGCAGGTTCAGTTCACCCCACAACACCTGGCTCACTTTGCTCTTTAGCCAGCATTTTGGAAGAAGAAAAAAAAGCATTGAGCATTTATCATTATTGCAGCTTCAAAAAGTTTACTGCGATGAGTAATGTGGTTTTCAAAAGAAAATGGTAGTCACTCGTCAGTCTCCTCTATTCAACAATTATGGGTGCCTCCACAATGAATGAGCACGTGTGAAATTAAAGTATGTGGTTGCCAAGATATATGCGGGGTCATCTTAACTAGCTGATTCCCAGTACCAACCTTCTCCCCTATATCTCCATATATCCCCTATGGATAGGGTTGTATAGAAAAAGAGAACAGTTCAGATAGATTCACTCTCCGTCTGATTAAAGTTCAAATAGGTGGCAGCAGCGTAACCTCCGGAGGCGACCCTCACCTGAGTTTTAGCTGTTTGCGGCAGGGCACTGTGTTCCTCATGCAGGTCCCACTGAGCGGGTCCACGTCCTCCACGATGACAAACGGCGCCTCCTCCAGAGTCACGATGGACAGGTGGTCCTCCCGCTCCTTTGCCTCCGAGTACAACTCGAAACGAGGCCACACGTGGTATCTCATCGTCAAAGAGCCTCTCTCCCACTTGCCAACCTGCGTGCGTGAGTGGGATGAGAGCTTGTGTGATATGCAGGCTACCGTCAAAGCTACTTTAAGTTTGCGGGGGAACGCTTCAAACAGGGGGGAAGAAAAAAAAAAAAGAAGTGACAGACACATCCTGGAGGCAGAAAAATACTGAAGGAAAGAGCAGCAAAGAGGTTTACCCTGTCCCATTGTCTGTCCTTGTCCAGAAGTATGATGACCAGCTTGGGAAACATCTGGTGGCCTTTCTCGCTAAATGACAGGTTTCGTCCCTCAAATGTCACATTCATGACATACCTGGAAATGAGAATTCAAATCTGAGTGACAAACGTCCCCTCCTGTCTATTTGTTTGGTTCTGTAACAGGTAGAGATATCATTGTTTCTCATCAACTGAAAATGACCAGGAAATTCCCCAAACACTGGCCTCACGGATGCTAAAACAGGCAAATTCAAATGCTTTTGTATGTCTCCACCAATGTAGTTCTTGATAATGTAACATTTTTTTAATTCAAGTGGCCAATTAGTGGAGCACTGTAGTTAGAAACTATGAACATGTCCCTTATTCCTCAGTCTCCTAACCGTCTCTAATACAACCTTCCTATTTTTATGCTTTAAACACATGAGTGTGTCATACTTTTTAAATAAACTGTAGCTTTTCCAATCTGTGGGTAGGCTCGAGGACTTCATATCTGCGTAGATCTCTTTTCTTCTGTATGTCTAAACCGTTTAACAGTTAAGCGAGATGAAAATACTACCGCTGACGATCTTGCTATCAAGAGTAAAAGTAGTTGTAACCTTGATAATTTAAGCACTCCAGGCATAAAAGGACCAGATCCACAACAAAGGTGACCCAGTTTGAAACCCATAACATCTGAGAAGCACAACCAGAGCTGGCAGGGTGTATTAACTGCCCGGTGAATCTATATCTGTGTATTCTATAGATGTGTCAACAAGTGTAAAGCAGTTGCAGATAAGCTGGAATCGTTCGCTTTCTTTTCTCAGCCGCCTCCTTCCTTCTCTCTTCCTTACGCTGATCTGTGGGCTGCCGTCACCATGGCGACGCTCTGCCTCCGAAACAATCCACCGGAGAAATAAATACCTTGAATGCGAGCGGGATAAGGAGCGGCTTGTGTGTGTGTGTGTG